TATTTCTGTCTACAGTATAAAGTTGTGATTGCCAAAAATACTGTTATTTTCAAGATGCTTTTGTTATTTTAACTTCTGGTTCCCTGATCTTTCTCTTCCTACTGCCTTCTCTTTTTTAATATGTCTCAGGGCCAAATGTAAAGGCTGTTGCCAGTGCTGTGGAGCAGATTTACCCATTCGTGTTTGAAAGCAGGAAATAAGTTTTATAACTCACCACTTGATGGTTAGGTTCCCTAACCAAGCACCTTTAAAGACTGCTGCACATTGGACTAAAAGCAAAAAGGAAAACTGGACCAACCATAGCAGAAGAATACAGACTCTTTTACTTGCTCGTGGCCACAGTATAAACTCCAGTTGTTTTGGATTTTACTCTTAACAGTGCTGTATTGTAAAAACGGAAGTTTACAAGATATGAAATTGCTGCTTTTAAAAAGACATTCTATTTATTTTTGCAGTAATTTCTGTGTATTCATAAGCAAAGCTGTCACGATGTGCACTACCTTAAAAACTTTTTTTTTTTTTTTTTTAGTTTGAGCTTGTGTTTTATTTGTGAATAGTCTTTTACATTTTTGTATGCTGAATATTGGGCACCAAAGAAGCTGTAAAAGTTATCTTTTTCACCTGATGAATGTGCACAAATAAAGGTTTGGAAAATATTTCTCTTCATAGCTGTTCTGTTATATTCCTTTCCCTTTTTCTATTACAGTTAAAATTGTATAGTTGCAAGTTAATTTGAAACAATGTAAGAATAGTCTTTTGCTGATACCTTCTGTTTCTATTTGTAGTAGTATGTGTAAAACTTTGTGCGTGGGTTAGACTGAAATCTCTAGTAGTTAACGTATGTTTATCCGAGGATGAAATTTGGTTTGTTCCCAGTTCTCTTAACTACATGCCAGATGTCAAGTACTTTTCTTGCTATTACATGAAGAGAAGACATTTCTGAATATAAAGGTCTACAGCAAGTGTTTTCCTATAGATGAGGAAATCTTGTCAAATAAAGAAGCTACTGTAGAAAAACCAACTGCCCTGTCTACCTACTGGATGCAGAAGGAAGAGTTTCTGTGTGAGCTTCGGTTTTCAGGAAAGTGGTGGTGTGCTTCAGCATGAGAAGATGGTGTGGTCGAGCTAATCCAGCCCCAGCCTATTGCTGAGTGATTAACACAGACCTTTTCTACGCTCTTCTTACTGTATAGTATTTTCATGACAGAAGCTGCCAACAAGCAATGAAGCTTGATTCTGGCATGTGTTATTCTTGGTATTAATCTTGGACTTGGAAGCCAGTAGATGTTTTTCTCAGTAAGTGCACATTTGAAGCAGAAGAGGTGAATGCTTAAAAGTAACTGCAAATGCTACTTTTAAAAAGATACAATAAATATGTATAAATGTATGTATGTCTTTTTTCCCTATCTCATTGAAGAGAAATGTAATGCTACTATTGTGTGCTGCAGGTAACACAGTGGGTGCTAAAAACAGTAAACCATGAGCTGTTACTGTACCAGAAGTCACAGCTGCAAAAGAAAGATGGAAGAACATAACATGAAGAAGCAAAGGCTTAGGATAACATATTTCATCTGTTTAAGGGGATAGTATAGAAGTTGGGGTGTCCGTAGTGACTTCATGCAGAAATTATGGAAAGGAAAAAAGCGTATGGGAAATGCTCAGCCAAACCCCTCGGAACAAAAAGAAGCGACAATTTGCCATAAGCCTTAAGTGATATATTCATAAAAGCCCTTTTAAGCTCAGTGTAAGTAGGAAAGAAAGGACTTATAACCATAAAATTACTAAGTTGAGTTTGACGGTCACGGAATTCATGGTAAAGAGTGGGGAAAAGGATGCTTGCTGTATGCAAGCTTTCCAGTCTGTGTAGAGGATAATGTGGACTTCAGCACTCCCGATGCTAATGTGGATTTTGTGAAAAGTCCGAGCAACAGACAAACCACCATTAGGGAACACTAGTGTATTATTATTACAGTTTAAAAAGGAAAAAGCAGAAGGTATTTGAACAATGAACAAAATTGTAATGGGTTTTCCAGGAAAAAAATGTAGCCCTAAATGGACAAATGAGGAATTGGCCATTATAACAACAATAGCTGGTTTAGATTAGGCTTGCCTCTTTTTTTCTTTTGGGTCAAATTACAAAGCACTTGAGTGCCACCAATGACATTCTGGAGCTTTTAGGAAGCATATGTGTGTCCTAAATTTATCTGTGGAGAAAGTGTTTTTTTTGTTAGCACCATCATGTAGTATGAAATCTGACTGTTAGAACAAAAATGAAAGATAATAACAAGCTGCTATGTATTAAAATGGGAACTGTTTCTTTTGAAATGCTGCTTAGATCCATGCTAGCAGTTTGAGGCCTTTGTAGCAATCCATAAGGGGGCCAGAATGCACACTACAAAACTTGCAGGGTAGTACTGGGAAAGAGAATAATAGCAAATAAAAGATTCCTTGAGATGCGTGCTTACCTATCCTAGCTCCAAGGGAGCCTCAAACCATTTGTGACAAGTAGGCAGCATATGCTTACAGTTGGGGATATTGTTTTATTTCCCATTCCTGCTCTAAAGCAGTAGGTCCCTGCCTCAGTCTGGAATAACCCTTGCTGCTGCATGTTTCTACATGCATGTGAATACACACCCACCCCTTCCCCATCTTCATAAGTTTCCTTCACTCTGTTGTGGTGCCTCCACCTAGGCTGTTGCTACTGACTCCTGCAGCCATGGTGTGGACCCCAGACAGGGCAGCATGCCCCAGCACGCTAGGTTCTCACCTCCCATGCGTGGAGCTGTGCTTTGGATTAAATTTACGTGTCATTCAATCAGCTCTTCCTCAATGGCCAGGTTTTCTAGAGCACTGCTCATCTCTCCCTGGAATCTTCAGATGGATTCTATGCAAAACTCTGCATGATGCTCAGCTATAGTGCTAGCAGCACCATAAAAACTTTGTTTCGTATTCCTTAGAGAGCAGGGTTGGTTCTATTTATACAACCAGTTGAGGGCTCCTTTTTGGACTGGAATGGTAACTCTGACTCATTGCTAGCTTGTGAGTTGTCATAACCACTAGATCTTTCCCTGCGCTTTCTAGCACCATTTTATCATTCTCTGACTTGCAATTAGCATTACCCGAGAAATTTGCACTTAGGCTGTCAGCTTTATTCAGATCCTTCTCACAGATTTGCAAAGCTCTGACTTCCAACCCAGTCTCTCCTAGTTTAACATTGCCTGCAAATTTAATAAGCATATTCTGTTCTGTAATCCAGTCTGCTAATGAAGATACTGAGTAATTTTAGATCTGAGACAAATTTTTTTGTGGAGTGCTTCAGAAATCTGGGGATGTGATTTTCAAGACATGTCCCTTTTTTCCCTTGTATTTTCATAGGTGATGAGGTTGTGGCTGCCATGTCCTCAGATGTGCAGGCTTTGTTATAAGACAAGTGCAATTAGGGCTGCATTTATAGGGCTATATAGGACTACAATTAAGACTATAATGATTTTAAAAGACCTTGGCTACAGCATCATCATCTGTTAGAGATATCTGAAGTTGTTAGGGTCACTGCAGTTAAACCGGTGTTGGAACTATTACAGAATCATAGAATGCCTTCTTCAGAAAATGGTGTGTTTACTTATTTGCGTCTGCACTTCATCAGTGTGCATGTGGGAAACTTAGAAGAGCTCACAATTATCCCCAAACCTGTAAGGTAGGGAGACAATTTCGATGATATTTTCTGAGGTAAATTTACTTCTGTAATAACACTCACAAAATGTATTACAGCAAAGGTTGGTTTGGGATGCTGTAATGGTGAGAAAGATGTTATAGAAGAACCTTTCACTAAATGTGGTGTAATAGAAATTATAAGCTGGTATGGGCTTAGATCACATGTGCAGGTCTGCTACCTAGAGGCAGTTATCAGAAAACAGTACCAGCCAGAGCAAATGGGGATGCTTCTGGAAACACAGGTAATCCACTACCTGGTAAAGTCACAGATCAGGAAATGGGTTCATTTCCTGCAATAGTCTTACTAAAAATGCATTATGTTACTCCATTTAATCTTAGGTACTTGTTAGTATAAAAATTATGTACATGATCATTTTATGTGCGTTCAGAACTGATAGTGGAATTTGTAGGTTTTATAAAAAGAAAATACCACTGCTGGTCTAAGAAAAAAGCTTTACAGTACTAGCAGGTACAGCCTGCAGCCTTTGCTGGTACTTGAGAAGTTCTTCTACATCTTTTGCTTTTCTTCAAGAGCTTGCCAAGCTTCCAGGCTTGACACATACTCATTAGGCAACATATGATACCAACCATGTATCCCATATTTTATTATTCTTTTAATATCAGTAATAGAATGTTGTTTTCTCTAGCAAGAACGCATTAATATCTTTCAAAAACTATTCTTTTAGTATGCTTGAACATACTATGGTTAAAAATAAAACATAAATTCATGCTGTTTATGACAATACGCACCGATAACAGAAGTGCAAAGATCAGGATGCTGAACTAAGCGTTAACAAACAAACCTCCCACCAAATCTTGTAGGTTTTGGCCCCGTTCTGGTTAATTCCTCACACCTCCAAGTGCAAAAATTTAAGGTAAAAAATTCAACCTCATGATGTGTCTATGCTTAAAGCCTTCAGCTGCCGCTTTCCCTTCCACCATCAGTCAATCTCTGACTTTACCCCTCCTTGCCATTTCATGTGCCCTCCTCATCCACGGCTTCTCTCCCGCTGCTTCAACCCCAGCTCTCCAGTTCTCCCTGTTTCACACTGCTGTGAAACTTTTATGCGGCTGAGCTCTAATGCATTTTACATCCTTTTTGTGACTATTTGCAGAAGTTACAGGAACACTCTTACCTTTGCCAATTCCTACTGCTTCAGTGCAGAGTAAACTCTTAACTGCTGAGGTCAGGAGACCCTCCCCCATGCAGGGGCAGGGGGACCTCTTCTAGCAACACCACAGGGACCTCCTCTTGTGGTCACTATCGGAACTGTAGTCCTCAAACAACATTCTAAACAGGTCTTCAACTTTTATTGGAAAATTCAAAGTAATAGGACCCAAAGTTTTCCATGTTTGTGGAGAAGATGGAAGCACCTGAGACACAGGGTGGAATTTTAGCTTGGGATAGAACCTGCTGATTCCCCACAGGGAACGAGAGCAAAGGACTTTCAAGCTTACTGCTTCTGATGGGGCCTTTGGTCTGAGTCGCCTACATCTTGGGTACACAGCACCAGTCTGTCCACATGTCCTGGCTGTGCTCAGTCTCATGTTCCTTATAGATTATGTCAGAATTGCTCACATGGACCCTTATGAGAAGATCGGACTCTTATGATGTGATTTTACTTTATTTTTGGTAGGTTGTATGTGCCAAAACTGTCATCTTTCTGAGCCTTATGCATTCTACCATAAGCACCCCTGAAAGCATCTTGGTCTCATGGCACCTGTGATCTTGTGAGGTCTGCTGGCTCTAGGATCAGGACAAAAAAGGCAGCCATAAGCTGGTCAGCTAGCTAGTGGGCTACCCATTCAGAGTTTCACTTGGTTTAAATGACATGGGATCTGCACAGTTAAAAATCCTGTGTTGTGGTAACTACTTACCTGACCTTTGTACTGAAAGTCCAACAGGGTCTTGATATTAGTTTGTTTAAAGTTTACAATGCAGGAAAGTTGTGGTACATATTTGGCCTGTAGGTTCCCACTCTGAGGTAGCTAAATTTCCAGTCCTCTGGCAAATCATGTCCTTGGCTTCAATAGTTTCTTTTCAGGTTTCATGCTCACTGTATGAATAGACATGTGCCTATAAATTTACAATGTCGGTATCCAAAAGTGTGACCATGTGAGAATCTGATCAGAACTGATCTACCCTGCTCAGAAGTAAAACTTTACGTGGATCAGTAAGTCACTGTTCTTTCAGTGCAGGACACAGCCAGATGGGTTTAATGCTATGAGACAGCAAATAAGGTGGGATCATGTGCTTAGCTCAGAGCAGTATATGCACTCCAGCTGACAGTGTCAGTCTTGATTCCTCAGTTAAATGCTGGAAGAAATGCCACTGTGTGGCTGCTTAGACAAGCGGCATGCTTTTAATGCATGGTTTTTTAATTCAAAAAACCATTTATTTATCTGATAATAAATTTTTATCTTCTGATCATTCTAACAAAATCTGTTAACCTAAGAAAAAAAAAGACCTGCATTTTTTTATGGGACCCATATAGATAACCCTTTATAGAGTTTTGTTGAGTACTTCAGGATACACTTGGTAAGAAATAACCAAGAATTTTACATGATTTACGATTTGCAGTGATTATGGTTTCCAAACTCCCTTTGTGCTGTCTTGTACTGCACAAGTCTTACTTTCAGAATCCAAAAGTCAAAGTCTAGTGTGCCCTGTGTTGAGAAATAGAACCATTTTGGCATCAACTCTGGTACCTCCAGCTTCCAACTTTCCTGGGACAGAGAAGCCAAAGAAATCCTATTGCCTCTTCTGTAAGGCCATCCCTGATCTAGAGTAATTTACTGTGCAAATGTCCCCCCATTAAACAATTTGTTTTCTGAGCAGTATTACCTGGGTCACTGAATCCTGTTGCTCCCAGGAAACTGTAAGGAAAGTTCCTTTGATAAGCTGAGCATGCTCTGTGATATAAATAAGTTCTGATGAACAAGATCCCTTTTCAAGTTTTCTTACTCCAAAGCTTAAAGTAATTCATAAACAGTTCATACCCAGTAGTCCTGCACCATCCTTTACATGCCATAGTTTTCTGTTTTTTGTTTTTGTTCTACAGTGTTGTCTTCCCTAACACTGACACAGTTGTTAACCTTTCTCAGTCCCGTGTTTGCTAGGCTAAACAGACCTGTCTTTGATGGGCTCCTCCTGTGAGATTCCTTCCTTTATCTTAGTACCCCAGTAATTCTTTGCACCTCTTCCAGGCTGAGCTCCTGTTGAATAAGTGTAGCTAGAATTGTGCACATTACTACAATTTACATTCCTCTCCTATAGGTAAGAGGTGAGTAACCTGAGGGAAGGTGAGGGATGGTGGTGTAAAGGAGACAGAGCCTAGATTTCTGGTAAGTTACAAACTACAGCAATCTTTAATGTTGGCTGTAAACTGCCACTGAAAGAAGCTCTACTGAGAAATGAAAGAGATAATATCATGTGTATAATAAAGATACCATGTGTCCCATCAGTGTGGGCACCACTGAGGGGTGTTTTTATCAGTCTTTTGGTAAAGGCTGCTTTGATTGCCCTGGGTCTAGTAGAGCTGCTCTTTCTCTCTTGTGGCAAGTTCCACCGGCACCAGTTTCTCTCTGCGCTGGCTCATCCAGCACCATGGGGTCTTCACATATTTCCTGGAGAAGGAGAAAAACACACCAAGGTTTGCCATCAAATACAGCTGACATGCTCTCCCTGCATTGCCCTGTCGAGCCTGGGTGTGGGGATGAACATGCAGGATGCTTCTGCCTGAGCGGTACAGCATGTCACACACCAAAGAGGCCTGACTCTCACCCCAAGGCATCAGCCTTGCAAAAATTCTGCCCACTGAACTAACTGTTTCCCTTATCATTTCTTTATTCTTTTAATCATTACGCTGGTAAGTCAGTTGTGAGTCCAAAAAAGCAAATGGCTGCTGTAAAGCAGCTCTTTGAACAGATCAGGAGAGTGCCACATTTTAAAAAGCAGGGCTGCTTACTTTTTCTATTATTTTTTATGGCCAAAACCAACTGAAAAGAATGGTGGAAGCAGTAAATTGATAGCAAAAATTGCCAGTCAGTTTACAGACAATGACATCTACATTTGGAGGTTGTAGGGAAATAGCATGTGTATCAATCAGCAAACCATTTAATTCTGTTCTTCAAATTGATGTACTCTTTTTGTTGAACGCATATAATTCCAAGGACCAATCTACTTCTAAGGGATGAGAGAAGACTGATAGGGTCAGAATAGGTCATATTAAATGAGTGGGAACATGGCATTCATGTCACCAGCACTCTCTTCTTCTCATTGCTATTCTCTTTTTACGTGGTGATGTGGGGACACATAACTCATACTGGAAGAAGCTTTTATAGGTACGAGCTCATGGAGTCTACAGAGCCACAGGGCTCAGTAAATGCACAAAAAATGCCAGCTAGAAGAGCTATCAAAACTCACATGGAGCCTTGAAGTATTTGAAGTAGTGTCCCTCTCCTGCCCTTTTTCTGCCTGCAGGCTGAGATACACAGCCCTAAATGTCAGATCACAGTTGCCCTTCTCTCTACAAATGCCAGTAAGCAAAAGTTCTGGGGAGCCAGGCCTGGCTGCAGGTGTTCCTCACAGGGATGCTAGATAGAAACCACCATCCTTTTAAAGCCAGTCCCTCAGCAGCAACTAAATGTCTGCTTGGCTGCTAATATCAACTCATGCAAGCTCAAGCCTTGAGAAAACCTGTTTTCTCCAGAAAAAAAAAAAAAAAACAAACCACGCAGTTTCCTTTTTTTATTAGCATGTGGCATTGGAAGGCTTTGTCCCTCTGGCACCTGGCAGATGCGATCACAGTATTAGTACTTACTGTTCAGCTAGTTCCATGGATATTTGTTCCAAAGAGCATCCTTTCGTCTCTGGTATAAAGACTGCCACAAAAGCCATGGATGCTAGGCTCATGATTGTGTAAATGAAGCACACCCAGGACAAGCCAATGAGCTCTGTGAAGAAAGAAAACATGTCTTTTGTTTTAAATTTTCATATAGAACAATTTATTTCTGTTGTTGCATTTTGTAAGATACAGCTCCTAATGCACAGGAGAGAACTTAGAAGCTAGGCTCTTATCCTTAGCTCACTTATTTGTGCCTGGCCATAATTTGGAAAAGAAGAGTGGTTTTGCTTTTTCTACTACTTCTTATGAAAGAAAACAGCAGCACCAGCTGTTAATATGGATTAACAGGAACCTATTAATTTATTTTGCTTGCAGTCATTCTGGAACACGTAATTGATGTAGTTACACTTTCATAAATCCAGATTAGAGACAGTTAAGCCAATAGAGTTACTGCAGCTTTACATTAATTGCAACTGAGACCAGAATAACAGCTAGGCAGGCATTAACAAGTCAAGCTCTGTGACAGGAGGGGACTTTCAGGTGAAACAGTTGATGCTGAGCACCCGAAGTGTGCACTATCTACTTTGGGGGATATTTCCTTAGGATCAACTCTAATCCAGTCCAAGGACTGAGCAAGTGTTGGCAGCTGGAGCGCATCTGCTGTGCATTTTCTGGCTTGTTTTTGTCCAAAAGCTTGTGTAGTTCAGCAGTGCAGTTCTGTGCTGCAAACCAAAATGCAGTGAGGGGAGGAGGGGCAACTGCATTATTTGCTTCTGGAGATGACCCTTGATCTGACTAGTGCTAGTATGGGCATAATGATTTTGACCTGGCATATTTTTCACAGTGTCAGCCAAGATAGTACTCAGGTTTTTTTTAAACATTTTAGTCACAGATCATGCTTATTTTCAAATCCATCTCAAAATGCATGTAACAGGATGAAAACCACCTCGACTTCTTGTGTGTTGATTGCCTGCGAGTAATGTAGAGTTAAAGGAAACCTGGAATTTCTGTTCCCTTATAAATGTTGATTTTCAGCATGTATTTTCTTCAAAATAAGACTGAAACCTAAAATTTACAAAACTTCTTATGAAATAAAATCAGAAAAAAATATTTTGAATCAATTCATTTCAACATCAACATTTTAACCCTTCCCCTTGTTTATCATCACTTTATAAGTTGCTATATGGTAGTCTGTTTTCTTGCATTAAAACATGAAATAATTTTCCCTTACAAAGACACCTTTTTCAAAAGGAAATTTTCTCAAAGCCAGGCCATTAGTGTAAAAAGGAATGATTTCAACAGGATTGTCTTTAAACATATTTGATCAGAAAAGCTGTGATCTGATCTCGATCAGAACTTCCATTGACTTCAGAAGATGTATGACTAAATCATACATTTTCAACCTACTGCTAAGGCAAGGGTGTTTTTAAGAGCTGGGGTTTACAGCCTGTGGAGTAGATATGCAAGGTGCTCTGATGGCTAGCACCATGAGGCTCCGAAGGGTGTGCTAGAAACAGTGACATTACACTAACAAACTAAATGGAATCTGAATCTGCTTCCTGAGGCACCACAACTGCTATTTTAGCAATGATGTTCATATAGGAAACATTCATTTTGCCCACTAGGAGAATATCAACTTGGAAGGACACAGGGAAATCTTACCAGTTACAGTCAAAAATGTCAAGGAGATGAGGAGATTTATACCCCAGTTCATGCTAGATGTCAAAGCCATGGCCCGTCCTCTGATGCCACCAGGGAAAATTTCACTCAGGACCAGCCAGGCCACTGAAACAGAAGGAGCAAAACATCAAACAAACAAACAAACAAACTAACAAAAAGTGTTGTCTTCAAAGGGGTGGCTTTCCTTGCTGTACAGTTAGGCAACCCATTCTCTATGGGGGTGGCGAGGCACTGGAACAGGTTGCCTAGAGAAGTTGTGGCTGCCCCATCCCTGGCAGTGTTCAAGTCCAGGCTGGATGAAGCTTTGAGCAACCTGGTCTAGTGGAAGGTGTCCCTGCCCATGGCAGGGGGTGTTGGAACTGGATGAGCTTTAAGGTCTCTTCCAACCGAAACCATTCTATGGTTCTATGATTCAGGTGAGGCGATTTTCCAGGGCGAGCAGCAGGTGGCACTGGGGCAGCACCAGCACACACAGAACCAGGGAAGTGAGCTCTGACTGCACAGCTGTGTGGGAAAAGGAGCTGTCACTAAATAATTCTCAAGTGACATAATGCTAATGGAAATGGGGCAGCAAACCGAAGTAATCCTCAGCTTCAGAATGGCACTGTGTGTTTATGCCACCTTATAAATCAACCGGCCACACTGGAGCAGGTTTGCCATTCCAGCTCTCTGCTCCATATAAATGACATTCCTGTGATATAAATTAAGAGAGAGGGTCTGATTTTTGGCTCCTTCATATCACACCACACCATAGCACAGGTGATCTAAATGCTGGTGTTGCTAGCCCACAAAAACAAATACAGACATGAAGAGCTGTCTGTGTAACCACCTAGATAGCAAAAGAAAAAAAATGACAGCACATTTCTGTACTATTCCTGGTTATTAGAAAAGCAAATAAAACAAAATAAAACAAAACTAGGAAGAAACCTCCATCATCTTTTTGTTCATAAGCAAGATGCATTCGCAAGAGGAAGCTTCTTGAAGAGACTGTGTGTTAGAAGATGACCAGCAAAAGAGCAGAGAGGTACTTGTAGATGAGTTGTGTCTTCAGACCTTTGGACATCATAAATTGCTCCTCTGTTATACTGTTTCTGTAAAATGACAGATGGGATTTTCTTCAAGACATTTGCATTGGGCAGTCTTAAAGATATATTTTAAAAATAGGTTCCCTGTCTGCGTCACACTGTCCTATCCCTCTGGATTCTTGTAGCATTCCTGTGTGGCAGTACTGGTAAAGGCAGAAAACAAAAATGTGCTGTGTAAAAAGACTAGAAAGTGCCAAATGAAAAGGGAAATAAAAGGGCCCTGAGCCTTGAGTCATCAGAACAGGTTGGGGCAATCTCTAGGTTTCTTTGCACCACAGATTTTAATTCAATAACCTTTTCTGGAGCTGGCCCAGACTTTACTTTTTTTAAAAAAGAAAAATACAAAGTACTTCACTCCTGCAGTGGGCATGACCTGGCAGAGTGGTTATTTTATTCCAGGGTATCACACTGTGTAATAGCCTAACGCTGTTATGCATAGTCAAGTGGCATACAGTCATACCACAGCTGCCATGTCCAACAGCAGCCATAGAGAGCAGTTTTTCTTTTTTTTTACTGAATTGGATCACAGTAAAGTTTAATTCTGCTGCTGACAAGACAAACACTGCTCTGAAGTAATGCTCTGGGTATGTTTTGTGCAGTGTCTACACATGATGGGGGAGCAAAGAACAGAACTCGCTTCTCTAGCCCATTGTTTTTCCTGCAGGCCGGCTAGCCCTGTGCCTGAGCACAGTTAGACCTGGCAAGGCATGGGGATCTCAGGATTGTATTTTGCCCCTTCTCAGCATCAGGACTGTTGAAACCAGTATCATTAGTCACAGCATGTCATGACAGGGAGTGCTAGCCGAAATGTAAAGCAGCAAGCAAGCAAGATGCAAAAGAGCCCTTCTGAGCAGTGTGTGCACAGCCTGTGGAGTTTGTCTCCGTGGGATGGCCTGGCAGCCAGCAGCCAAGCTCGGCTGGAAAAATTGCTATACACTGAGACTGGCAAACGGGATATTCACAGTAACGTTAGGCAGGATTTCAATAAAGTTTGAAATAATTCAATCCCACTTTCTGCACAGCATAAACCACCCTCCAGGAGCAAACTTTTTCTGTGGGAACTTTAGTCTGCATTTACTTCTAGAATCTTCTTGCATTCAAGCAACTCACAGTGGCTGCTCAGACAGGTAACGAGTGAGGAGGACCAAGTCCCATGAACTGGCATGGCAGCCCCACCAGGCTGGGTGAGCCCTGACCTAGATGGGCTTCATCAGCATCTAGGGCACTGGGGTACAGCTCATGCCACAGCTGAAATGTGTGGTGCTGTGGCAGCTCCAGTAACATGCATTTTTCCAAGGACAGACTGGCTCTTTCAGACTAACTACTGCAGTGCCTTGTCTGGGGGTTTGAAACATATTGTTTTTCTCTTAAGAAACCAAAATGCTTGAGGAGCTGCATCAGCTGCAATAGTGGTTAGCTGCTCTTACTTCAACCAGTTATTTAGTTCAGACAGATCCCACTGACACATCTGATCTATTCTTCATTCTGCTAATGGTAGCTACTTCCTCTGGCACAGCCCTGACCTCTGCTTAGCTGGCAAGGAGTGGACAGGCTTATTCCCTGCAGGGAAAGAGCAGTTGTAAAATTCTGGCACTTATTACAGTCTGTTTATCCCTTTCCCTAAGCTTGAAGCAGCAATAATGATCGATTCTTTGCTTTTAGCACCTCTCTGGGATTGTTTCTGCTATTTGTACTTTTGCCAAAAAACAGCAGCTGCTGTAGGTACAGAGGGGTTGTGGCCTTCTCTTGGGGAGCCAGTAACTAGGTTTGGGCTCCCATTCATGATTGCTGCTACCTTGTGCACTGTGTGCATGCAGCACTGCAGAAATTTAACCTGTACGCTCCCAAAGTCCCTGCAGAGTCAACTATGTGCTCTGCCTTCACCAGTCTAAGCAGTGGTATGTTACAGTGGAAATCATCTTATCTTTAAAAGACAGTCCAAATCCTCCTACTTCTCACACACATCTCCATCTGATGTGTAATTTAATGTGATTGCTGTGATAGCAACCACATTGCACACACAGTAGTTTTCATTGTCTGTTCTTGTCACCCTTAGCTAGCATTAGTGGATAGATGTGAAAAGAGCTGGTGCTCTCCTGGTGAGATGTGGATACGGGATGAGGCTAAGAGCTCAGCATCAGCCTCTGCTAGATTCAACAGCTGCAGGATTTGTTCATGCAGTGGCTGCAGGTAATAACTCACCCTTGCTGACCTGTAGTGCCTTGTATGTTGACAGCAATTAAGAAAAATTGTGCAGCTGAATGGTCTTTTATTATGGTATAAGTTATAGACTGCCTACTGCAAATGCAGAAGAAAATATTGCACTGGATTTGAACTGTTTCATTAAGTGCCACAGAAACTCGATGACCAGACATTCCTTGCTCAAGTGGGAAGGGCAGAGGATTCAGGTATACAAACAACCTCTTGACCGAATGGTGACATTCACTTCTAAACAAAGTCACAAGGGCTGTAGTGGCAGAAAACAGAATAATAACGGAAGATTTCAGCTGCTTCCATTAGGGCTAAATAAATTGCATAATGGAACACAGTGCTGGGACTACATTTTAGGTAGCATAGATGATGGTTTCTTCCAGGAATTTGCCTGATACTTAATAAGAGAAAAAAAGGCAAATCTTGCTTCAGTGCTGAGCATGGGTTCAAGTAGTTCAAGATGTTAACTGTCACAAAGATGCTCTGTTATATTGGTTATAATATTTCAAATTCAATATCCTTGTAGCAGTGGAAGAGCCAAGAGCCTACCACATTTTGTTTCAAAAGAAGAATATTAGAATAAGCCTGCTTTCTATAAAGATATTAAAAGGACCATCACGGTAAATACATCAGGATGTTATGAAGAATGTTTGAATTAACTTATTAGAGGCTTAAAATACATATACAACCAAATAAAATAAAATAGCTCAGCAGAGATAAGAAACTGAATGAAGAAAACTGTTAGAAATGTGTCTTCATAAAGTTGTACACTGCATCCAGACAAAGAAAACACAGTAGAATTGCTGAAAAGTTACTTGCAATATCATCCTCGGGCATTTTGAGTTTGCTGGCTACAAGGACAAGAAGCCAGGGATGGAGGATGTGACACTTGCCAGCACTGAAGAAAATATTCCTTGGGAATACAGGAAGTGGTCACTCCGGCAGAATTCTGCACCAAGCTGCAGGCTGGAGCTGGGATAAAGCTGAGTGATCTCAGCTGGAAGAAGGAAAGGAGGATATGTACAGTGTCTTGAGGAAGAGTTCTCTAGTTTTTTTTGCTGAGGAAAATGATGTCTCTTTGAAAGAGTTAAGGAACATGGGGATTCAAACGAATGAGCCACTGTTCTTTTCAGTTTCAAAGAGTTTTGGTAAAGTGCCAAGGACAAAAGAGAAGGTATTCATATTGATCAGTAGCTGTTTATAACAAGAAATGAAGCACAAGGCCAGTCTTCACAGTGGAAGATTACTGGATCTGCTCAGTATATTTCCAGGTCTTTCAAGTGAGGTTTGAATGCACATGAAGAAGTACTGATAGTACAAAATTATTAAGGCTAATAAAAATAAAGAAAGAGCATAAAGAATTGCAAAAGGATCTGAAAATATTGACTAATTTTGAAAAAAAAAAAAAAAAGACCCATAAAAGCCATTATCTATTCATCTGAAGCCAGGAGAAAGCCAGCCAGCAGTACCCACACCAGCATGCCAGCATTGCTCAGGGCAGAAGTGCTAGAGCCTCCATGGGCAGTCCAGACACAGCATCAACTCCTGTGAGGCAGAGGTAATGGGTGCAGACAGAGGCTTGGCAGTTATTAGGAAGTGGACACTGAATGTGGTACTGAGAACACTATGCCTCTGTATTTGTCACATTGCATGCAGATCTGGTCAACTCAGATGAGGTAGATGACGTAAGGGGCTCTGAAAAGAGCAATTAGACAAGTACCCTTCATCTTAGATAACATACAGCAGAGGGTAGCAGAGTTGCAGTGGAGATGAAGAGAGGTTTTTGTTGCATTTTTAAAGACAGAAACC